CACGGGAAACACCCCCAGGCACACTCCTGCTTCTACTGCTCTAGGAATTGGCCCAGATAACATAGCAAGTTAATTCTTCACCTGTTTTTATTAATATATGGTCCTTAACAATGGATTGAAGTAAAACCTAGTTACTAAATGTCTAATATCTAACTAAATACTGATTACTTAAAAACATTTTGAATCAAGCCATGATTCTTGGCTAGAAGATAAACTAAGTGGATTTCCTGTCCTTCTCTTTTCTCTAAGTTGGCGATGCACATCCTCGGGTCCAGACTGAGAGAAAATGTATGAGGAAAGTAGCAGATCTGGTCATAGCCTCAACCAGCCATACAGCTAGCAATGGACTCTGCTCCAGAAACAGGAAGACAATGGCTTCCCTTTAAGCTCTTCCCCCCCAATATTTTTGTCCAGCCTACAGTTTTTACTCCCCAGGGATTCTTAAAGGATTGGAAATTATGATCAATGAAAACACAAGAGTTTATCTAAGCTAATGATGCAAGGTGCTGATTTGTCTCACTTACCAAGAGACACTTACATTCTTCTGGATCTACTTTACTGAAATATTTGAGCTGAAATATTTTAAACCTATTCTCCGTGCTTTCTTCACATATCTAAACAAAGACTTCCATTTAATTAGGCCCCATGTCCCTAGCTCACCCAAGCTTTTCGATGACAGTGCAAGTTTCCTGATATATAGAAAAAGTCTCTGAGAGTATGGGAAGTGAAATGTAACTGTCTAACTCAATCAGCGGCACAGATTTATTATGCCACAAAGTTTCAGATGGAAGAGTCTCCAAGATCCACTGAGCTGTGCCCATTCTTTCAGTGTCCAACTTTTGTAATATTTCTTCCTTACACTTAACTGTCTTAGAAACGCTCAAGCTTGCATTTTCTTAATAAAATATCTCCCCAAACTTCCTTCTGTCCTACTTTATTCTTGGCTTCACTTCACATGTTCTCATTTCTGAACTTGTTATTCTCTGTGGCCAAGATTTTTGACATCTGCCTTCTCATTAATAATCAAGAGGTTATACATCCCCGAATTACTCAAAACCTGCACATATGCCTCACTGTTGCAATAGGAATTCCATGGGTGGACTGAGGACATGATGTGACCACTGTTTTGTTTATTTTTCTTTTCAAGTAGCTATAAATTTCATTTTCCTAATACCACAATAGAACATTTCAAGATTCCATCTCATCTTATGCTCTCTTTAAAATAGTCTGTGTCATGTCATTTATTGTAAAATACGTAAAGGTCAAGAGAGAACCTATACAGTCATAGCTGTAAGTTAGTAGCTTTTTATGTAAAAGGGCCTTAAGTAGATCTCTCCTACCCAGAAATATTTCAGTAAGTTCTATAACATGATGCATTCCTTGTCTATTCAATTCACCACATATGTTTATGATGTTACTGGCTGTGTCGGTTTGGGGTTTATTTGCAAGGGGAAACAATAATATAATACTGGACACATACTTTATATGATTATTTATAATAGTCACCCACAGAATGATATACAAGAGAGCACAGGAAATCTGTCACACACTAACACCAAGGAATCTCACCGAGGGCCTGGATCCCACAGAAATGTCCTGCATGAGTCCAGCAGAAGACCTAAAGCTCATACCAATGCCTCCCACGAGTCCACCTGGAGGCCCAGAGCCCACAACAATATCTCATGCAGGCCTCTTTCATGGATCTGCACTGGGAAGACCCAAAAGTCAGTGGTGGAATCTTGAAAGTCTGTGCCAGTAGGATGAAGGATCTATGCTAGCAGGCTGAGGGATCTGCACTGCAGCCAGGAAGTGACACTCAGAAGAACCAGAGCTTCCCCGAAAGGTACCACAGCCATCCTCAGCAACAGTGAGGTCCTGAGCTCCTCCGATGATCAAGATAGCCAAGTTCCCATCAGAGAAGTCAACACAGCAAGCTTCTCCAGGAGACTGGCAGTGTACCATCTTCCCCTCCAGAGCCAGGAAGCGATGCTCAGAGTGAGGACCAGAGCTCCCCCAAAGTGAACCAAAGCCATTCTCAGTGCCAACAAGGCCCAGAGCTCCTCGGAGGATGAAAACAGCCAAGTTCATCAGGAAAGCCAGCATGACAAGCTCCTCCAAAACAACCAACAGCTCCTTACGGCTTCTATCAGTTCCAAGAGCCTCTCAGCTCCCAACAGCCTCATTTCTTCTTTCTCCAGTTCTGCCTCTTATGCTGCTGGCAACAGTCCCCAGGTGGGTCCCCCACACCCATCGCCACAATTACTCAGTTCAGCTGGGGGTTATAAGTTGACCACCGGTTATCAGTCCACTACACTGGTAATGAAATTTGTTTCCTTACTTACTCTTAGAAAGATAGGTCAGAGGAGAGGAGGTTATTTAAACATAGTGGTAAATCTTTATCATGTATCTACCTATACATACAAAATGGGCAACGTAGCATCTAATTTTGAGAAAAGGTTTAAAAGTATTAAAGATCTGGCCTGATACTCCAGAATTCTCCTGGCTATTGAGCTATTCTAATAAAAGCTCACCTTTCCCATCTAGAGAGGACTCAGAAAATGCTTATTTGGGCCTTATATTAACCTTTACCAATTCTCTGGCTGTAAAGTTTTAAAGGACAAATCTGAGGCCTGTCATCATGCATTTGAACTGATGTCTTTCAAAGCTTTCCAGAAACAATGTTGAATTGGCAGCGAGACATTATTAATGATTAATCTACAAAACCTATTGTAAACATCTGGTCGTAGCTACTTAGAAATAATGGCACGCAGGGAGGTACGTCCAAGTCTAAGGCCTCTTTGACATCTTGAAGTTCAGAAGATGGCGAAGGAAGCTGGAGACTCGGAGCTTGGCGGTACCGCTTTCCGCATGTTTTCGGGAAAGGCTGGCACGCCACCCCTCTTAAGAGGCAAACTGCCAGGAGGAACAGTTGGGTCTGAAGGGTAGACTCAGGATAAGCAGAGGGAAGCTCCATTAGGATTTTATTTCTATGCTATTTCGTTGTTTTCTTTAGAGTCTTTTCTGTTCATTTTCTTTTCCAGTTGCCCCAATGATCCCACTCCCACTCTCACTCCCGGTAGTAAAGCGCCTGTGGAAGTAGGGAGTGAAGTAGCTGGGCGTGGAGTCAGGATAAGAGCGCAGAGCAGGGAGGACCTGCGTGGCTGTTCTCTTCCCGGGTCCTGACACCAGCACCTGGCCTTTCCTTGTCTCTTGGGCTACTCTCGGCCCCGCATTGCTGCTCTCACCTGACTTAGACCCGGCCTTGAGGAGCCTGGCTCTGCGGCTGTCCTGAGCCGGCTTTTCCTAATAGGAACATTCTAAGGTTGCCGCCCCTTAACGGATCATTTGTAGCTGGCTGATTTGAAAGACCAGAAGTGCATTTATCTCAAACATAAATTCTGCCTATCACTGGGCAATGAATCCTGGAGGAAAATTAGACGAAGATCCTGCTCTCCGGAAGCTTACACTCTGCTGGATATAAAAGTTGCTTTTTGTCTACGCAATGCCCATCACCAGCTACGCCCAGGGAGAGAAGCCCTGACTTTTTTTTTTTTTTTTTT